TTGGACATGAAAACTCACACCCCCATGTCTGACCTGTATTTGAACCCATCTTAACCCCAGGCAGCTAATGTTAATGCTCAATCCTGTATGGTTTAAATACACCAAATTTTTCTATTCTGTTATCAGTAAAATAACCGACTTGATATAGATAAAAATCACATCATATTTTTCATTTTTGGCACGCTATTTGGGTGTTGGAGCTTTGTTCTAATCTTTGTTGTCGAGGGTCAAAACCCAGATCAAAGCCCAGACTACATGGTTATTTGTTCAGATCTCATAAAAGGGAACTGCAGTGATACATTTGAACAAAGCAACATAAAAAATTAATATGCAATATAAAAGTGCAAAGTCATTCTAAATGCTGCCTTTAAGTGTGATATTACCCATGATGCATTGTGCAGGTTGGTGAGGAGGTCATGGTGGATCTGTGCACACGTTGTCAGTGCTCATCGGAACCAGGAGCTCTGAAGAAGTTCCACCTCTCTTGCAGGAAGATGACATGTTCATCTTGTCCTGAGGTTCCCCGCCAGACTTCCTGTTTCCACACCTCCATCATTATCATCATCATCTTCGTCGCCATCATCATCGTCATCATCATCATCATCAACTTCACTATAATGTTGTCATTTAGTTCAACCATTTCCAAAGGTGTGGACTGATCCCATCCTTACCATCCATGGTCACGTCAAAGTCTCTCTCCTCCTCATTCCTGTCATCATCTTCACCGTTCCCACCTCAGTTCTGGTTATAAATGCCAACTTCCCGCTCACATCTTCAGGGCTTCACCAAGGAGACAGTCCCCGACTCGTGCTGCGGTCGCTGTGTGGCCACATCCTGCACCGTCAAGCGCCTCAGTGGCATCACCATGAGCCTCAAGGTCAGGGTCCCTCCATGCGATTTTACCCCACGGGGGCAGGATGTCCCACACAGCACCAGGAACCTCCTGGCTCACACTGTGGACTTGGAGTGCAAAGACCTCCGAGTGACACTCTCTCTGCCTCTGTGCACATGTGCCCTAAAGCAGTGTTTCTCAACCCCGTCCTTGGGGACCCACCAAACAGTCCACATTTTTGCTCCCTCCCAGCTCCCAGCCAATCAAAAGCACCGAATACCAGGTGTGCTGGAAGCAGGGAGGGTGCAAAAACATGCACTGTTTGGGGGTTCCCGAGGACTAGGTTGAGAAACAGTGCCTTAAAATGCTTCTTTATCGCAAGCCAAATAAACTGAAGTGTGTTAAATCGCACGCACTGGTCGGCACACCTCAGACATCTCGCCGGCAACGCAGTCGCACGTGTCCGCGCACCCGAGGCGGCATCTGTTGTGTTCTTTTTTTTTTTCTCCTTTTTTTTTTGCACGGCACCATCCTTGGAAGTGAGACCGTTCCTCCCCCGCCCACGTTCTTGGTGTGCGTCCCTGTCTCCAGGCCAACGAGACCTACGAAGACGGCTGCACCCTCTACTCCTGCCGCCAGAACCGCAACGGAGGGCTGGTCCTTGAGACGCAGATCACAAGATGCCCCGCTTTCGACCGGAGTCGCTGTCTGGAAGAGGGGGTACGGGCCACACTCCCTACCTCCACTGGGGGGGGGGGGGTCGTATCCCAAACTGAGGCTGCCATACATTTCCTTGACAGTATATGAAAGAGAGTGGCTATCCCGGTACTCTTGGCCCTTGGGGGTGTGCTGCATTTTTAATGCGTTTAATTATTTCTTTGGCAGTAATTTCACATTCTGCAGCCCTTTTGCGGCCATCATTAGTTGCGCTCTGTTGTAAGGGGCTCCCGTCCCTGACACGCACTGCAAAGGCTGCAAATCATGCATCACTGATGCCGTTGCTCACGGGCAACATACATCCCATGCCCATCTCCCTGCCGAGTGGGAGGGAGCACATTTATGTAAGAAAGTGCAGTTTCTGTCACTCGTGCATGGAAACCAGCTGATCAGCTGTGGGTGGATATCTCTTCACCAGACTCGTTTTTTTTTTGTTTGTTTTTTTTCTTTTTTTTGGCCTTCCATGTTTAAACTGGCAGCACAGATGTGTTACCATGCGTTATAAAAAGCGCTCGCTGCTGCCGTTTCCACGGTGCCCATTCCCGCGGACTTGAGGCGGCGCCGTGTCTGTGCATGTCTGATTTCTATGTTTTTTCGCCCATCCCAGGGGAAAATCGGCAGGATTGGGGACACGTGCTGCGAGACGTGTGAGTAGGACTCCCCCCATCTGACACCCCTCCACTCTCCCCTGTGTGTTTACCTGCGACGGCTCTGGTTCTCGACACCGTTCTGTCCCAGAAGTGACCCTTTGACAAAGCAATGGGAGACGGGGGTGTAGGCTGGGATGCCCGCAAATGTATGCCTGCTCTCTGTGGGCCGATTGTGAGGTTGGGGGGGAGGGGGGTCTGTGTTATATTTAGAGACAGGCTACCCTACCCATTTTCTGGGGTGTGGGGGTTTAAATGAGCACTCTCTGTCCTCAGGCACAGAACCAGAATGCAGGAAAACCACTGGAGTCCTGAACTACATTAAAGTGGACAATTGTCTGTCTGAGGATCGCCTGCAGCTGCAGTACTGCGAGGTGCGAGTGCAGACGCGCAACACGAGACATAACAGACCTTCACTCTGCCCGCCATAAAAAAGAGACGTGCATACTGACCTATATGTTAAGAGTTATAACAAGAAGCAAATCTATGGGTGTTTTTAACGTGGGGAACAAAAGAAGGGCCGTAATTCATACAGAGGGGTCTACCTTATTAGCCAATGATATGTTTTGAATTGGTGAGTGACAAGGGAAGGGGCATTCTGGGGGCCAATCAGCTTTCAGCTGGGATTAGTGCACCTGTGGCCCCGCCCCTTTGTATCCCCATGCTAATCTTTAAAAATAATAAAATAAATGACTCGGTATAAGTTTTGAAATGGCTTCCTTTAACTTCTACGGTAATTAGCCAGAAGCTGTCTTGTCCTGACCTGTTACCAGTGGTTTCATTCCTTCCCTGCCCTCTCATCCTCTCCCTCTCTGTCCACCCTCCCACTTTGACCCAACTCTTCTGCAGGGCAAGTGCCAGAGCAAGTCGATGTTCTCGCTGGAGCGGGATGTGATGGAGAGGCAGTGCGTGTGCTGCTCCGCCCTGGCGACCGAGGCCCTCACCATCTCCCTGCACTGCCCCAACGGCACCGTGCTCCAGCACCGGGTTCTATCTGCCACCGCGTGTGACTGTGTGGCCCAGCGATGCCCAGACCACTGAGGAGACTGAAGAGGAGGGCCGGCAGATGGGGGAGAAGTAGCTAGCTAGCAGGCACCGCTAACATTTGACACTGTCGGTGTCCACTGGTCCACGCAGACATAAAGATATAGTTATGGGACTATATTTATAATCCCATTCTGATTTATTCCACTGTACTTAATGCTTTGCCTTGCCATACTGAGAAAATATTCATTTCAAAACAAAACAGCTTCAAGCACATGGAACCACATACCACGTATTAGTCACACTTGTCAATACTGTAAACCAAAGGTAGCAAGTAGCGATGTGATTTTTGCTTGTAAATATTCCAAAGAGTAGGTATTGGGCTGGAAGATGCTTTTCTCTATTAAACCATGTTCTCATGGCACAGTTTATCCTTTTTTTTGTCTCCACTTTCATTTCTTGATTACGGATGAGTCAAATGCACCCCACCAAACTTATTAAATTGCCGAACGATCCATCAGTATCCAATGGTCTTTTTACCGGTCGGTGGTATTTTTGTGCGACATGAACCGGTCCGTGGACATCATCAGTCTGGCAACCCCTACAGTATGGGACATTTTCAATAAAATACTCCCCTGTCCAGATTAATTGAAAAAAATAGTCGAGTCTATATGCAGTTAAGACGGACATCATAGTCACACCAATTCATATTCATCGCCTTGTGGTCTGGATTTAGGACTTGGTGGATTGATAAAAAAATGTATGGGAATAACCTAGAATGGGGGGGCAATCCATCACAGGGCGCACACACCAGTCATGCCTATGGGGGATTTGGTGGCTCCAATTAGCCTTAGCATGTTTTTGGACTATGGGGGGACACCAGAGTATCTGAAAGACAGCTACTGTAGCTCTAACCCCACCCGAGCAGATCTGCCAGTCTGTGGGCACAGTGTCCATCCACTCAGCGTACTCTCTGCCCGGATGCCTGTGCAAACCACCAGGTCCCGGGCCACTGCATGCATGGCTGTGTGACAGTTTGTTTCAATTAATTTGCATAAGACCTTGTGTATTGATCTGCCTTGTATAAGAAAACAAAATTACAACGAGAGCTTTTCCCGTCATTGTATCGCCATAACATCGCCAGTGTGGTCTGTGTACTTAAAGGGCCAAGTCAAGGCAAGACTGGCTCAAGGGACGATAATGGCTTTCCCGATTACAAGATAGGCTTTTTAATATTTTATTCGAGGGGGGCGGATTTATTTACACACGGAAAGGTAACCGAAGATAGAGCGGAACAATGCAGCAGAGACGCGCTGGGTCGCGTATGTTTGTACTGGGGGTTGATTGTGGTTCAAAGGACTCAGTGCATCGCATTAGATTCAAAACAGCACGACGCTGCAGTTCACACTGAGGGAATGCGTTTAAGATCCATTAAATAAAAAAAAAATCTAGAAAGAGGAAATTCTTAAAAATATATCATCCTCTATATTTATAATACAACTGCTGTTTCAGGTTTATTATTTATTATTATTTTTCAGATAGGTTTCGCAGTATTATAATTTTAAACGGGGGTATAAGGGCCGGGGGCGGGGTAAATATTTAATTTGGCTTCATGCATCCCACCAAAAAATAGAACATGTAAATTGCTAAGTTGCCCTCCCCCCGCAATATCTCATACGATATCGATCATATTATTAAACTGTCGTCCACCAAAGTTTAAAATGAGTCAACAGGTGCATTAAGGGCAAGCACTGGAAATCTGGCCTGGCTGTAAACTCTCTAGCAAGCAGCCGCAGCCGCCCTTAAATTAAGCCCTACAGACTCCTTGAGCGGATTGCTCGTTGCGGCGGCTCTCCCACGTCCTCTCACCCGTATCTCCACTCAGCATGGCAGACAACAGAAGAGCCCCGGGCAATGGTAAGTGGGTCACCCTCTTTTGAGCAATTTTTGGAAGCTGGCCTTTTTTTACGCTGATCGCCTTCGGAAAATCTTTTTTTTTAATGTAATTGTGCCCTGGATAGAGCGAGTCGATTGCACTAAGTTGGGTAATCGGTAATCAGACGCCCTGCTCGTTTACAACTGTTGCGCCTCTCTTCAGAGTGAATTGTTTATTTATAGCATTTAAGCGCAACTTCAAAAGTGGAAGCCTTTTCTCACATATAACAAGTATTATTTCCTGTTTGTGTGTACACATACATATATAATACATATGAATATAACTGAATATATGAAAATAACACGTAAACATATACAATTAATCGTATTATCTTCTTTTAACACTAACATGTAACACTGTATTCTGTGTTGTTCACCTGGACAACTGAGGTCAAAGACATGACTTGCAAAGGACCTTAATTGTAGCTTGGCAAGAAGTTTATTATTTAGGTATGGGATCACTTACTGAGAGTTGTTTTTCTTTATGTGTTTTGGACGGCATTTTCCCGTAATATTATATACAAAAATATGGATTTTTGTTTAATACAAACCTCCGCATATGAAGCGAGCCGTCAAAATAAACTTTCCCGTAAACTGTGACGCAAAACACGACCTCTTATTCTATAGCAAAATATTGTGTTGATAAACTTAAGTGTGTGGTAATATGATCCGTGTAAATAAAGATTACTTTAATCGTCTGTGAATGTGACAGAATGGACTCTATCTGTCCATGGTGCTGAAACGAAGTGGGTGGAGAAGATTTGCTGACACATGGCCAGGCTAATGCAAAGGTTCACTCACAAAACCCAACCTTTTATCCAAAAGAAAACAAGAGGAAAAAAATAAATGCAATGCATGTTTTGTATTTTTTATAGAAACACAGCATGGAGCAGCGGTGGGAGTTAAAGTCACCACTGCCATAAGCGAGTCTTCCTCGATCCATAGCGACCGATTCTTTGGCATTCCAAGAGAAATCTCCGGGCTGGATTTCGACACGGTCACCGGAGTGTTCGACCTTCCAGACTACATTGAGGAACAATCCGAATCAGTGAGTACACAGAAACTGAAGCGAAGTTCCTGATGATCATCTGGCCTTACATTTTTATGCATGTACCTTCGTGTTTTTGCCAAACTTAACTAAAAGAAAACGCACGGTTCTCGTCTCCATGCAAAATGGATATTTTAAACAAATGCAAAAAAGACAAATGTTAAGTATACTTCATTTGATGTGTTAATATAGCTTCACTGCCATGCCTGAGAATAAAATTGTTATGTCATTTAAAAATATACTGCACAGCTAATTTTAGCCAGTTGGGAGAGAGAATGGGCTCATTGATGAAGTGTTGCAGTACTCATTATGCTCCGTGCGTATTCCATCTGATCTACAATATTCAGATGCCATTTTGTTCGATTTGGCCAGTGTTTTACACCGGACTAATGTGTCTAAAGTGATCCACCTTTAAGACCTGCTTAAATTGCACAGGTGCTTCTTTGTTCTCCGAATTAGACAATGACGAATCACGAGCGAAGTTTCTATGGCGATCCTTTGTTGCGCTCGCGCCAAGGAGCCCAGTCAGCGGAGCGCAGCGCCAAAATCGGGCGAGCATATGGGTTTCATGCATTGTAGAGGGGATAAAGCATCAGTTGATTGAGATATGGATTGTTCTCACTCTTTGGGTGGATGCAGTACGGACGTGCACTGACTGCGCCCGTCAGTGCTTGCGCAGCGGGCGAATAACGTCTTTATTATTATTTTCCTTTTTTGTTTTAAAGAGCAGTAACATGCCGCATGCGAGAAGCGAAGACAAAATGCGAGTAAGTACCCTGTGCTTTGGAATTAAGTAACAGTTATTCGTGCGATGTCATAAACACTGATGTAAGAGGTTTTGTATTTGCGTGACAGAGGCATCTTTCAAGTTACAGGATATTTGTGAAACTTAATCTATCACGCATGAAGCGCACTTTGAATTTCAGAAGCGGAAACTTTGTTAGTTCATTTTGGAACCAGAACACTTTGAACACTTTTTCTCCCTGCCGCCCCATTTTAAACCCCGAAAGTTGCAGCTTACTTTATAACAAAATGTGTTAATTGCTAAATAAATAGCCCGCTTTATTGTTGCGTGTTTCTTCCCGCAGGGGGCCAACACAGTGGAATCTCTACAGGAGACGAGGAACGGTCTGTACTTCAACGATGGGAAGAGGAAAGTGGATTACGTCCTCGTGTACCATTACCGGAGACGGTCGTCCGTCCGCGGCTCCCCGGGTCAGCACCGATTATCCATCATATCTAACGGCAGTTTTCCCGTCTCTGCCGGCAAGAAGGATGCGCAGAAAGTGAAGACGGAGCCTGAGGTGGCGGTGGAGTTTGGAGCGGTGGACCACGCAGAAGAGGAGAAAGTCATGATCCGGGAGGAGTTTGAAGCAAACCTGATAGATGCTGGCCTCGAGATTGAACGGGACAAAGAAGTAAGTAAAACCTTTGGGTTGATCCAAGTGCAGGAACCGTCAGTCACTCACAGGTCTTGTCCGCGCAAGTGGCAGGATTTTGCGCGTGCTCCTTCTTTGCTGTGAACTACTGGTCAGGGTTGTCCTTTTTGGCAGGGTTACCAGTAGAGTCTGTGCTGGTAATAGGCATTTTCCCAGATTCACTTTCCCAGTGGTAGTCTTGTAATTTCACAACTACATGGCATCTTTGCCTTATGGGAACATTTTTAGAACTCAGGTCTCTTTTTCCGTAGTTTTACTGCTTGACCTGATTTTTCGAGCGTCCAACCTTAATATTCTGCATGCCAATAGAATAGCCCTCTTGGCTGATGATCGCTACATAATTGCCTTATCGACAATTTATACACTAATGTTACAAGTTGCTTGCAAAGACTTGCTTATACTCTATTTTGTGACTTAGTAGAATTGTAATCTGCTAAATAAACCAGTTGGAAATGTAAAATTGTAATCTAGCCACGGATGTCCAGTAAGATAAAGAGTTTATGTGTTGTGAAGGAAAATGCATGCATGCTTTTGGATTAACTCCTGTAATACGAATGGCAGTGAAGCAGTATTTGTGTTTTTCATTGCAGACATTTTTTGAATGGCTAAATATTTCTCAGTATTGGTTGAAGGGATTATTTGTTGTTCCACAGCAGTAGCATGTCACAGAGTAGTATATTCCAGAGGGGGTGTGCGGTGCAGTGCAGGGGAGACATCGCTAAGGTTCCAGACATATCTGCATCCAGTGGTGCATTTTAGGCTGATGGTCAGCAGGCGCAACCAAGAATCTCATGGCCGAGGTCCTGTTTACATGTTAACTGAAACTGGACAGCACATATATGACTGTAGCCACGCTAATGGAAAAAGGGAAGGTTTTTGGGTGTTTGACTAAATAAAGCGTGGCTACACACCAATCATAACAAAGCACAAACTTGTGTTCAGCAGTAAAGCATCATAAACAAAGATGGCCGAAGATCAAGGGACATGAGATTGAATTATCCCCCCCCCCCCCCAGAGAACTAGCATAATGGGAATCACACTAACTAGAAGTCCTGGGTGGACAGTTGTTGTTTTTTGTGCCAGACGTACTGAGGAGGTACTGAGGAGGTGCTGATGAGGTACTGAGGAGGTGCTGAGGAGGTACTGAGGAGGTACTGAGGGCACAAGATGACGGCTCTGTTCATAAATGGCGCTACTGAGACGCTGCTTCCCTTTATATTCCGGGATTAACGCGCTTAGGTTAGGTGCACAGGGCTCTACACCACTGTTTCTCAACTGTTGGGTCGAGACCCAAAAGTGGGTCACAGGATAATTTTTATTGTGATGCGAAGCATGTGGTTAAAACCAAAAAAAATGCGAACAAAAAAAGTTTTTGTTTTTTTATATATTATTATAATTTTAACAATAATTATCTTAAATAGTGCGTGATGGCAACTGTTACTGAATTACGCTCAATAGTCTATTACGGCACAATTTTTCTGTAAAATAAATTTGGTTCAAAATTTTTTAAAATTGGGTCATGACCAAGTTAGAATGAGGGTCCTTAGGCTAAACCGCTGTTATAGACTGTTGACCCCCCCCCCACTGATATTTAGGAAATCAGTAAGCTTCCTGAGTTTGCGGACATCCTTTGAGTGGTCTCAGCGCATGTATATGTAGACCCCTGGATTCCCAGTTGGTCCATGGCTCTGAAGTGTCACCAGGAGGCCGGTGTCTGGTGACATGGAAGCGTGGTCCGCTCAATTATTCACCAGCACGTGAAGTTTGATTGAAGAGGACTGCGGCGTGTGCGTGGACTGCGAGCAGCATGCGCGTCCCTCAGCTGCCTCCGTCCGTCACTTGAGCCGCGGCGGGCGATCGCTCTGGGCTTGTTTGACCCACCGTGGGTTGAAGTTCATGGCCGATTGAACTACGGGGTCAACCCAAGAGGCAGGGATCAATTTAAAGATCTGCATTAATGGGTGCCGGATGCCTGAGAATCAATGAATGGATCGACGCTAATGAAACAACTGGGTCTGGGTACAGAAAGGGGTTTTTGTGTAGAGCGCTAGCACACACACTCTCAGATAAAGGGTGAAAATTTGTACCTTTGTTTGTCACTGGGGCTGTATCCTCCAGGGTCTGCGAATTGTACTCTTAGCTGTAGGTACTTGTACCTTTTAAGGTAAAGAAATGGACTATGATGAACATCCCAAAGGTACAAACAGCATTAATATACCCTTAATGGTAAAGAAATGTTCCTCACGGTTCATTTCTGTACCTTAAAAGGAACAAGTATAATTGGCAGACCCTTGAGGGTACAGCCCCAGTGACAAACAAAGGTACAAATTTTCACCCTTTTTTTGAAAGTGTGTGTGGATTGGATGCCTTCGTGAACGAGGCATGGAGTAGATGTGTTTATGTCCAGCATGTCTGCATTATGAGAGTAATATCAAAAACAATGCTGTTGGTGTTTTGATAAAAAGATAAAGTGTTATGACTGTGTTATGTTTAGGCCAATAAATGAGTATGTTCTCCAGATCGGAGGTTTGGAAGGGGTCAAGACAAATATTTGCTCTGCTAAAGACAAGACTTTGCGTCATGATGATTAAGCACTACAGACCCCTCTCTTTCCTCCACTTCCTTGCAGTTAATTATCTAAAATGTCAGGAGCAGGATTCATCACAGCAGGTGATGTCACTTCCTCTTTTGGGTCTTTGGGAGAGCCTGAAAGGTCACCTCTGCTCAGTTTCCCCATCTCCATCTCCACCTCAGGCAGGTCTAGCATCGACCTAATTGGCTACCCCTGCTGATATCAAAATGCTAATTGGAATATTTTATCCTAATTAACCTTCCAGAAGCCACTTTTTGCCGTCCTTCGTATTGGACTGGAAAGAAGCGTTATGGTTTGATTTGCCCAATGCATAAACGCACCACTTGCTGTCGAAATGCTTGAGTGCGTGCAGGAACTCTGCGTCTTTTGCAATTTGGAGTGTTTGACTTGCTCCTCCGCTTATTCGCAGCACAAGGTCCAAGGAGTTGGGTTCATTCGACTCCACGCCCCCTGGCAGGTGCTGAGCCGGGAGGCTGAGTTTCTGAAGATTAAGCTGCCCACAAAGACGGTGAGAGCTCTTCCACATTTATCATGAACTTCTGATGCATCATGGCAACGAACACGTACTGCCTTCTCCGTACAACGCCTGTCCTTTGAGGATGTGAACGGGGAGTTATTGTGCAACTAATAAACTACAACTAACCTAATCCTTTTTCAACTTTTATTCTAAAACCAATGCTTTTTCTTGGGCTCCTTTAGAGCTATGAGCTAAAGGAAGGAAGTGGGATTTCTGGGAAAATGGATGCATTTTGGCGCAGGCTCAACCAGCCATTCCAGCCCAAAGTGCCCCATGGAATGGGCCAGAGTCGCACCAAGTTCCTCTCACACTCCTTCTCCCGGGACAAGCTACACCTGTGAGTATCTCCAACGTGGCTCGGTACAGGACTTAGTGCTCTGGGTCCTGAGGGCCACAGCCGTCTTTGAGAATGCCTGACGTTTCTGTCGATAAACATGGTGTGGGATTTTGTCAGCCCCAAGTAATGACAAATTACTTTTGAAAGTCACGGGGTGCTTCGCTGATTTGAAGAAAAACATCCAATGTAACAAAGACGATGGACGTCTCTTGGTTCATCACAGGAGTCAGCCTCGTCGTTTCATAGGAGACCAGCCTCTACTTGACAGAAAGTTTTTAGCGATGAATTGGAGAGTAAAATTAGGCCAAAATGGCCTCTTCAGTTGTGCAGCTTATTAATTCTTTAGAGGAGAGGTGGAGCTGAATGCCATCTCTCCAGCAGAAATGAGCAGAGCCTTCCACAGTCTGGTAAGGCCAGAGGCAGGCCAACCCTTCTCATCGCTCGGGGGGGGATTCATTCATGTCCATGTGTGTCCAATGACTTGGGTTAGAATGCTATTGTTCCTTGTAAACAGCTCGCTTTGAAGGGTCTGGGGCTCATGGTGACATGCTGATTGTGACACCATTTAAAATGGCCACCTTCCTTCATTTTTCCCTTTCACTTTGGGTAGGTACAACATCAAGCAGAAGGACACGTTTTTTGACAATACGACACGCAGTCGAATAGTAAGTTCCTGTATAGTCGTGTCATTTCATTCACCTAATCCTCATCCTAATGTTCTGTGTGTAATTATGGAATATATTGGTTACTGGTGGTACTGTCACTGCGGACAAAAGCGTTTGCTAAATAAAGAAATGTGAATGGTAGTGATATGTCTTTTATTCTGTGAACTGGAGCCCTTTGTAACAGTATCTGCAACCTCACATGGCTGCACAGTGCTGGATAGTTTTTCTCATGTTAGCTTGCTATGTTTCAGACGGGGGAGTGTGGTAATATGTGTCGCCAGACATCTCTCACGGGGGAGGGGGGTCTCTGCCCACTTTTAAGGAAGTGCTCTCATGAGCTTGTCCCCCCCCCATTCCCAGGTTTACGAGATCCTGAGGCGTACTTCCTGTGTGCGGGCCTGCCAGTCTGTGGGTAAGCACTGAACTCGTACTTCTCCAAGGAACTCCCTGGAATCCCGAGTGGGGGGAGGGGGGGGGGGACAGGAAAGGGGTGGGGGGAGTGGGTTGGGAGGACCGGGTGGTCTGACAGCCTCCACCATATGGCACCTTGGACGGCACCGTGAAGTGGAAGAATCGCCAGCAGGGTGGCGGTATGGGAGGAAGCCTTTGCTGAACGTGGGTTTAATGTGCGCATCCACCCCCCCCGCCCAGCTACCCCACACATTCCCACATGCGGCAGGGTTTAACACCCAGTCAGCCTTGAAGGACGTGTCCCCCTCCTTACCTTATGTCTGTGTGTGCCGGGTCCATATGGCGACGGAGCGGCCCTGCCGCGTGTCAGCGGCGAGCAAGCACCTCCTCCCCCCTCCCCCAGGGGCACGGACGGGTGTCGCTGAGCTCAGCGCCAGTGTGGGAAAGCCGGCTCAGCTCAAGGACAAGACTGTGCAGCACGTGGGATTCGGGAAGGGAAACACCCTGCCTTTATACGTGGTATTTCCTGTTTTCAGGGGGAAGGGTGAACCACGTGTCCAAAACAGGGGTGTTTCTTCTGGGAATGAAAGACCAAACAAAACAACTCAGGGCAAAGGTGACAGTCAAACACCTCTCTCAGGCCTGGATTTAATCGGGGGGGTACTCTATAAATGCCCAGCAAAAAGAAACATTAGGTGGGATAAAATTAACCCGAATTTGCACCTGACTCAGTCTTTTGGGATGGACTAGCCCTCTCTTACACGCACATGCACGCACACACACACACCTAGCCTTTTATTAGAATGAGATGCATGCTAATGATATTACAAGCACGATGGCTAAGCTACATGCTAACCCTGTTTGGTGCAGTCCCTCTTCCAGTGTGAGTAAAGTGGGTCACTCAATTCCAGGGTTGGGCTGGAGCTGGGGGCCCCTTAGGGAGCTCAGTCCCTGCCGCTCTGCTTATGAATTGTCCTCATTATTGTGGGTTAATCGCTAACGTGTTAATGTCATCCCTAAGAGGACTGGTTCCGTCTCTCTGACTGACGCTCTGTCAATTCTGTACACATGACCCAAGCAGGATCTCTGCTCTGCAGTGACTAGGTGAAATTGTTTTTTTTTTTGGGGGGGGGGGGGGGGGTAGTGTATGTGTGGCATGTGGTACAGGAATTTACCTTTTTCTTTCTCTTCCAGGGGTTTCCACGCTAATAGCTAAAGGTGTCTATGACTCAGCCTTCCCCTTGCATGATGTGAGTTAACTTTTTTTAGACTAGAGTTAACTTTTTTTGTCATTGTGCTGAATATAGATACAGAGCAGTCAGTTAGTGCAAGTAAATTCAAATTATTCAAATACAATAAATATATATAACTAAATTATTGGGTTGGCGCCACGCCCTGGGTTATTCCCTGCCTTGCACCCATAGATTCTGGGATGGGCTCTGGACCCTCCATGACCCAGCACAGGACAAGCGGGTCTAAAAGATGAATGGATGGACAATAAATTATAAATACAGGAATACAAATTATGGTTGCTTGCAGATTTCTATATGAGAGTCTGGAATATAAGGTGCAGAGAGGAATTGCAGAATGAATGATTATGATGAGTATGAGACATAGAAGATACGGGATCGTTCTGACCTGTCCACAGTGAATAGATGGGTAGGACTACGAAGAGCTATTCAGAATTATTTTTGAGCTAACTATACTTCTGCTGATGATGCACTTGCTTTGTACGTACGGGGAGATATCCCTGTGTGTTCTGTCACACCTCCAGCATGACCTGCCTTGTTTGTCTTTCCTTAGTTTAGTGCGTTTCTGTTTTTTATAATATCCAGCTCGTCTGTTGTACTTTGCATTGATTTTCTTCTCTAAAAACAATAAATTGTCACAAAAAAGAAGTACAGAGAGTGATATATACAATATGCAGATCAGCAGTCAGCGTGGACAAAACAATGTTCCACGGAGATTCAAAGTTGTGTACAATTACTTTATATTCTGTACCTTTAATCATGAAATGGGCGGAGCTCCTCTTCACCTGCTTGTCTCTGCTTCACAGGGTGACTTTAAGGACACCGGAGAGGAGCAAAAAAATGACAGACAGGTCAGTGGAACTACATGAGGTCATGCTATCAAACATGCTCATCTAATAGTCTGCCTACATCGAGTAGTAGATCCATTACTTCTAAGCATAGTATTTCACAGATATTTCCTTGCTTTCCTTTAAGAAGCTTGAGCACTGCTTTGTAATATACCCAGTTTTGGGCATTTCAGGCCCAGAAAGTACAAATCCAGACCAAGATTTTGTTTCTACCAACAGGTTGAGTACTCTGTGACTATGACTCTTCATACTCGACTGGTTGGTTGAAACAAAATCCCGGTCTGGATTTGTACTTTCTGGACCTGAAATGCCCAACACTGTCTATACCGGGTGTATTGACGAATAATAATAATACTTCTGAATGGTCATTTTCCTGTCTTCCCAGCTCTTGCATGATGAATGGGCAAGATATGGAGCCTTTTACAAGTACCAGCCTGTAGATCTTATAAGGTATTGTGGCATTAGGCATCGACTCACCTCTGCAGTGTGCAGTAAGCACAGACGCCTTGGGGACCAGGCGCTGTTTGACTGTCCTGGCTGCCCTGTGTCTTTCAGGAAGTACTTTGGGGAGAAGATCGGCCTGTACTTTGCCTGGCTTGGGGTCTACACCCAGCTGCTCATCCCCGCCTCACTGGTCGGCGTCATCGTCTTCTTCTATGGCTGTGCCACTGTGGACACCGACGTGCCCAGGTACCCGCTGGTCCTGCCAGGTGCGCGTATGTGAGACGGTCTCTGATTGGTCCCATCATTATGTGTTCCTGGAGCTCAACAAATAGAGCCACTAATAACTGGAAGGTTGTGGGTTCAAATCCCAGGGAGCACACATAAGTAGGAAACCTTATCTCTTGGAAGCCACTTTGATTAAAAAGTACCCTGTTAAAAAAATCAGGCCTGTTTTTACGGGTGGCCCAGTTATGTGACCCTGTCTCCCCCCCTGCCCCCCAGCATGGAGATGTGCGACGAGGGGCAGAACTTCACCATGTGCCCGCTGTGCGACATCACCTGCGATTTCTGGAAGCTGAGCAGCGCGTGCAGCACGGCTCGGGCCAGCCACCTTTTCGACAACCCCGCCACCGTGTTTTTCGCCATCTTCATGTCCCTGTGGGGTAGGAGCAGGCCCCCCTGGGGGCTACTCGCACCGCCGAATTCATGCATGGAGATTCTGCATGTGTGTGTGCTTGTGAGTTTATGGCTGATTGCCGATTGAATCATCCTGTACCATGTGACCTATTCCATTGTGATTGGGAGATTAGTCACATTGTCTATATGTAAGGTCACTGTGGTTGTGATGTGGGTGGCACGGTGATGCAGTGGTTAGCACTGTTGCCCCACAGTGCTGGGACCAGACTTTGAGTCTTCACCATGGCTCCATGTATGTAGAGTTTGTTATTTCTCCCAGTTTCCTCGTCGGGTTTCCTCTGGGTACTCCGGTTTCCCCCCACGGTCCAAAAACATTTAATTAAGGTTAACTGGAGTTAACCTTGCCCATAGGTGTGCCTGTGTGAGTGTATGGTGTGTGAGTGAATGGTGTGTGAGTGTATGGTGTGTGAGTGTATGGTGTGTGAGTG